ATTTTTTACCGGAGCTTTAAATTATTTCTAATTATTATTAAATTTAGCTGAAATTTTGTGTACTAATTGTAAATTCATACGTTAATGTGAACGCTTTATTATTAAGTAATTTAATCACAAAAGTATAATAAAAAATAGGTTCTTTCGTTTTTTATATTAAAATAATACATCTTGGAAGTTAAAACAAAAAAGAATAAAATATTCGTATTTTTGAAATATATGAAATACGAGAAATCAAAAAATATAAAATAATTAGAATATATGAAATTATTTTCTATGGATACCATTATATAAAAAAGTGTTTTATACAATTTAATAAATATTGTTTTTCCTATCTATCCTATCCTCAAATATTCATTCAGGATTAAATTTTATACAAGTTTGTGCAGAAAAGCAATACCTATATACACATATACGTATAATATGAACTGTTTTCTAAGAAATTCCTTCTGTTTCATACTTTTTTTTCATCTTTTGTTTCACACTTATTTGTACATATCTTACTAATGATAATAACAATTTTAGTGTAGAAAATTTTATGTAGAACATATAATTTATTAATTTATTATCTTGCTTTTCTGTAAAAGATTTTTACATTTATTAATTATTATTATTTGTCTCAATGCACTTACTTCAGCCTAATCTTTTATAACTTATCCATATGTAGTAACTGGACTTTATATCAGTTAAAGTAGTAACATGATGTAAGATCTAATATACATTTTATCAAGAAATATAAGAATTTTATCTTATAATTTTTAAAATCGCGTTCAAAGACACGCGTTGCATGACATAAAATATTTAGTTTTGAAATAATAAATTATTCAAAAAATGATTCTAATAATATGCGAAATACGATAGAGATATATTTATTGATGTGAGGGAAAATTATTTCTTTTGGATCTTACATTATTCATCTGAATTTCTCATCTCCGCATGTTTTGAAATGAAATTCAATAACGAATCGTTCGAATTGTTAAAAATACGTATATAGGCCTTGAATTTTATCAGATGATAATCGATTTAGTAATTTCCAGTCATTTATTTTTAAATGAAGTTTTTTAACATAAAATTTACATTAAGATTAAATTTAATCTAACTTCGTAATCTAGTTTCGAGACTTTTGAAATAAAAACGTTATTGACATGAAGATTTTTTAATTTAAATTAATTTTTAGTCGAATATTTATATTTTTGATTTTAAATAAATGCGAATAGAAAATAAACGCGAAATTTATTCGTATATTAATAGAATGGCCAGGAGAAACGAAAGGTGAGTTCAATCTGGCCAGAAGAAAGAAGAGAATCTCTACGAGCAGAATGTGAATCTGAAATCGACGCATAAGACAACTTTAAGATGTCTTTCAGAATTCTTTATAAAATGTTTTAAAGATGTTTCTTAAAGAACTCGGGAAAAAATGTTTTATATATGCAACAAACATTTATATAAAATTATATAAGAATATATATAATTTTATATAATTGTATATAATTATATATATATTTTTAATATAATTTATATAATCTTACATATAAAATTATATATAAAATATTTTTTCCCGGGAATTCTTAAAGGTATCTTAAAGTTGTTTTATGCGTCGATTTTAAACATTCTGCTCATTGAGAAGTAAGTTGGTGTATGTGACACCACTTTAAGTTTGTAAAAAGTAAATTGAATATTCGGGAGGGTAATTTGCTCGCAAGTTGCGAGTTCTTATACTTTTTGAAAGTTATTTAAAATACAAAAAAAATCCAACAAATAACTAATGAGAGACAGCGCAAATAATCAAATTTGATAGATTTTTTTAATCTGCCAAATTTGTGCATTATTGTTTATTGCTTATTTATTATTAGTATGATCGCGATTAAGTTATCCCACTGAGTTTATTAGTTCGCGATAGGATATGATTAGACAATGACTGTGTGTGAGAGAAAGCAGCTTTGCAATTATTGTAAAATTCTTCTATGTGATTGGTTTGTACATTTAAATCCATAAGGAGAACCAAAAGCAAGAACCAATCGTATTGAAGAATTTTACAACAGTCGAGAAGCTACTTTCTCCGAACGCATTAATGTATTATATTCGTGTTATTGCACATTTATGAAGTAATGTAGGTAGGAATAGGTGGAGATAGGTATCTGCGAATAGGCACGAATAAATGAAAATACGGAATAGGTAGGACAATAAGTATGGACGATAGGTAGGAACTGTATAGGTAGGATGATAAGTACTTATAGACAGGTAGGATTAAACATCATATGTACATATATGATAATTGGAAATGAGGGATTAAAAATTGAATAAAATTTTTAATTAATTTTAAGTTTTATTTTTATTTAATTACAGTATCTTGTTCTAATTATCGAATATAAAAATAAACCAAATGAATTTTAAATTTTATTAAATTTTCAGCTACTCTAAATTAAACTTTTTTGTAAAATTCTATACATGTACAAATTATGTATCGCGTTAATAATAATAATGTAATTAATTTTATTATAAATAAATGTATAATAAATGTATAATAATATTAGGTACGTAATATAAAATTTATGTAAACTATGTCCAGATGAATGCTATAATCATATACTTTTGTAATTTGCACAATGATTAACTAATTAATTATACATTTACTGGAATATATATATGTCTGTATTGAATATCTAATCCATATTGAAAGCTAAAAATAGCATTTGTTTTGTCGTAGTAAATCAAATTGTTGCTTAATTAATGTAAATTATACGAAATCGACGAAACATATAATAACAAAAATTGATTTAATAAGCTTGATAAATATTTAATTTTAAAACTTTGTTTAATTTAGATTTTATTTTGTATATTAAAAAAATCATTAATAATTTTAAGTAACTTCTTATTAAAAATTTCATGGTTAGAATAATCGTCATTTTTTCTAGATATTTAATACAAATTTATTAAATAAGTCATAAAGATTGGAGCTTTGACAATTGTCGGTAGGCGTGTAAAACAGTTACAGAATCGTACTCCTGATTACGTGATTTGTATCGATAGAAAATCGAAATTATTTTTATCATGGAAAATTATTCCTTGTCGCTTTTTGTGAAATCCATTCGCGAAATCTAGTTTGGTCTCTTCGGAGATTCTTGTACAGGATTGGAATTAATTCCAGATTTTCTCGTCTGCAGTTACTAGTAGCAATAATTTTGTTAATGAGTCAATGATAATTGCTATATATTTTAAAAGTCTAGTTGCAAAATTAATTCAATGGTATATTTTAACATACAATTTTCTTTCCGCTTTCTTTGTTTTATTAAATGTTTTCTCACTAATTATAATAATGTTAATAATAATACTGTCTTAATAATAATAGGAATTTAGTATTATATGATTGATATGGATATATAATTATTATTCGTTTAAATTCAAATTATTAAGTAGACAAAGTAGGAGTATTTCTGAAAAATGTTCCAATTCGTATAAAAATTATGAGAAAAATTTTCACCAGGATAACATCCTATATATTGCAGAAAAATTACAATTTTTTTTCTGCAGTCATTATTTCTGTTATTAATCAAACTTTGACGATATCACTGAAATCACAATTTTAAAGAAAATAGAGTATTATTGAGTTTTAAATGCATAAATATGTCTACTAAACTAATATATCATAAAATTAATACAATATTATCAGTTTTTAATTCTTAATCTCTTAACTTCAATATTCTCAAATTCCCTTAAAGATCAATATTTCGTCGGTGGTCGAAATAAGATCTACGACAGAAAAACAAAGTTTAAAAATATGGCCTGAAAAATAAATGACGCGGCGCCACAACTATTTGTAAATAAAGCTTGAAGTTAGCGGCCAAATTTGGAACTAACTCAACTACTCAACAGCTGATATCGACTGGGAAACATGGCGAAATTAACTCATGTCATGTGGGGTTTGTCTTCAAATTTTGCAGCAAATCGATATTTCTCTCGATTGTTGACGTAAGTAAAATTTATTTTCTTTTAACACATTAAATTTAACACAATCATTTTGTATAATATGTGAACATATTACTTCATTATCATAAAATATGACAATGTAATTCTGCATATTTAATGTGCTGTATTACATATATATTTTGTTTGAATTTCAATAGAAATATTTATAGATATTGCAAGGAAAAAATATATTTTATTAGTAATGTATTGAAAAATAATAAAAATATATATAACTAATATGAATCATGTGCATCTAATAATAGAAGAATCATTTAACTTCATCAAGAAGGAAGAATAATTTGAGAGCAATAATATTATTTGAGTTTTAGAACTCGGGTATATAACTTAAAGAGAAGGCACAAGACCCATTAACCAATGGGGAGAGATATATAATATTTAAAAAATTCCTATATATATATGTGTGTGTGTGTGTGTGTGTGTGTATTTCCACAGCTCACCATGGTACAATGTATCCATGACTACATCATCCCGAGGAATGTCAATGGAAGCTGCTGTCAAATCTGCAGATGATTTGATCATCAGTGATAGCTGTGTGAAGCGTTTAAAAGAAATAGCCGATGATAGCACATGTTTGAGAATTATCGTAGAAGGCGGTGGTTGCTCTGGATTTCAGTATAAGTTTGATTTAGATCCAAATATACAAGAAGACGACAGGTGTGCATTAAAATATATATATATATGTATGTATATATATTTGTGAACACATACGATTGATAGAAACTCTTTATTTCTTGTGTTATACAGAATATTTCAGAAGGATGGTACTAAGGTAATAATAGATTCGACATCGTTAGAATATGTGAAAGGATCAACGATAGAATTCCATACAGAATTGATACGATCTGCCTTTAGAATAACGAACAATCCTTTAGCCGAACAGGGATGTAGTTGCGGTGCTAGCTTTGCTATTAAAGTAGAATAGATGATGATGGAAATTTACATGTTATTACATTGATTAATGACTATGCTGGCTTGTAATTTAGTATTACTTATTAATTTTGAAACAGTTTATCGAAGATTAATTATACTTTATTTATAATTAATACGCGCAAGGCAATACATACAATTGCTTTGGCGAATATACATTAATTTTATCACAACATCTACTATAAACAGTAGCTGTACATATCTCTTACATTTCTTTTAATATAGAAAGAACAGTTTATATAATTTACAATCGTAGATGTCAATTTAACTATAAATGGTCTAACTACAATTGTACAAGTGATACCAAAAAGGATTTATGTATCTTTTTATTAACAAATTTAGATTGTAAAATTTATCCTGTACGAAGTGTTGGTATATTGCTGTAAATAAGTATGAGCAAATAAGAATAATCGTTGCACATATACAATATTAGAAGAGTTAAACTTATAACATAAACAACGTTCATAAAAAGAACGTTTCGATGAGTTTATTTTGATTTCATAAATAATGTAACATCGAGTTAGAGAGCTCTTTAGCACTTTTTAGGCTAAAGACACGAGTATGCGCAAAATCAGTGGTTTTCACATATGAGCTAAATATATACATAAAATTTATCAATGATCCCGATTAAACCATACCACTGAATGGAATGTCAATGATTGTTCTTTGCAATTCTGACCTGGATCACTTCTGTTTCCCCTTTTTACTATTCTGAAAAAAAATTTATACCTTCGATATTAAACGCCATCGTAAAAGACTGTCCTTTAAATATTTATATGTATCTTTACCTTATTAGCTAGTTCAAATTTCAGTTGTTGTATCTCCTCTGTTTGGAAGATAAGTTTCTCATTCATATTGGCAAGATGTTCGCTCATAGTATTGAGCTGTATCTTGTAATTTATCTCCTGCACATCCTTCTCTTTTTGTATACTGTTACAATTGGAAAGTGTCTCTAACAGTGTCGCTTCGCACTTCTCTCTCTTTGACTCGCTTGTATCTAACTGCGCGTGCATAACTTCGCTCTGGAACACAAACAAATGTGTGCATATAACAAAAATATAAAAACTTTCATACAAATAAGATTTAAAGTATATTTTATTACATTAGCGGCCATAGCTAAGTTTTTAATATGATAAACATGTTTTTCGTTTGTTAATCTTTCAATTTCTTCTAGGAAATAATCCCTAATTTTTAATTCACGAGCTTCGATTTCGTCTGGTATGGCGAAAGGTGCATTCAATTTTCCAATCTGTAAAGAAAAAAAAGTTGAGACATAAAATTTAATTAAAAATGCGATACATATGTTTAAAAGGAATGTGGAAATGTATATTAATAATACACACCATATTATTTATTTCCGTAGATTTTAATGTGTCGTTATTAATTTGCGGAGTTGCTGCAGCCTCTCTTTGTTCTAATTCATCATATTTTATTTTGAGTATATGATACTGAGCCTTCCAATGATTGATTTCCTTCTCCAAGTCACATGATTTCGCATAAAGGAATTCATTACTTTCTTCTTGTGACTTTTGTGGCTTTCCTTCCCCAAGTGACTTCGATGATCTACGCGAAGCAGACGGTGAAGAAAACGGCGATGGTTCTGTCTGACGATGATTCGAGAGTATTCCTCTCGTATCAAAATCGAAACCATCGCGTCTACCTTCGTTACTAGACCACGACACAGTTTCCTCTTGTTTCTGTCTATCATTTAGTTTTCTCTGTAAATCATTTCTCTCTCTTTCTAATTTGTCTATAGCGCTTTGATATTGGCACTCTAACTCTACCTTAGACTTCTCGCAATAATCGACTTTACATTCCAACTGTTGTATCCTATCATACAAACTTTCAATTTCGCTATCCTTGTCACTAATCTGAGACAATAATTGAGCATTCTCGACAATCTTCTTCTGAAATTCCTCGTCTAAGATGTTATTCGGTGGCGGTGGTGCTGGAATCTGACTATTGTTCTCCGACGCTTTGCCCTTACCCTTCTTGGGCTTGTTTTGTGCCTTATCGAGCTCTTCCTGTAGTACAGTTATACGCTTCATCAACTGCTGATTGCGAAATGTTAGACTGTCGATCTCCTGCTCAGCCCTACGAAATTCCACCTCCTTTTCCTTTAATTGATTCCGGATATCTGTGTTTCGTGCTTGTTCTTCTATCACAGCCTTCTTCAGAACATTTGCTTGCGCACGAATCTGCAAATCGATCATCCTCCTTTAGATACATTAAGTAGTGAACAGATGAAGCAACATAAAATCATAGATTGGCAGTACGCTATTGTAATCCAGTAAACTCCAAGTAACATAACATCAATGTTGTAATTTCATACTCAACAATATAAATACAACACATGTGTATATAACAGTTACATTATTGAGTGTGAAATTATAATATTGATATATCTTATGTTATTATTATTAGACCAATTTTTTTTATTTGATTTTTATATCATACGACAAATTTTTCAAGCGTATATTATTGTTAGTTGATGTTTACTGGAAAACGTATAAAATCTGCCTTTACAAGAGTCTCACTTTTGAGTATTCCGTGGCGATTTTCTGATACTTGGTCTGCAGCTGACCGTTGACACCCTCCATACCTTCCTGCCCCAACCTACCTACGCGCTTCCGTTAACGCGTCTCTCCGGGTTCGCCACGCGGATGTCAATTATTGACACCTGGACATCGTTCACGAGACCTTTGGGTGTTGTGCTCGCGGCGCCGGGACACGCATCGCGCGTTTCCTGGTGATGACGTCGGCGCGTGCGATGTTTATCGACGAGTCAGCGCACACACATATAACGCACACACCTCCTGATCTGTGAAGGAGGGAGGGAGGGAGAGGAGGAGCAAATTAATGTTAAGCCGTGATCGGCGAAGCCCCGTAACTCCCCATTAAACGCGCGACGCGGTCGCGGACGCTCCTCTCAGGCGAGGAGCCGTGGGGAGAAGCGTACACGTACCGTAAACGCGCGTTCTTTAATGAAACGCCCCCGAAACGCGATAACATACACCCGCCCTACCGTGCCATACCACCGAATCCTATCTGCGTGCGTGCGACGTGAAGTGAACGTCACATCGTCGCGATATACCGCCGACCGGACGGAAGCTGGCCGCAGGCGCACGTACTTTCAAACGCGACTCACTCGCGGGGCGGTTCTCGATAGTACCGATACCGTATCGGCCGCGTATCACAAAGCACACTCCTCGTAGCCGAGCATCTCGTACATACTTCCCGTTTCGTCTCTTTATCGCACTGACGTCCAGTCGCACGCTCCTTCCCGTTTCAAGTGCAGAAGGTATAGCGCGGTGCAGCCACGAGGAGCAGATTCCTCGCCATGTAAATTTTAACGTACGATAATTGTCGCGTGAGAGATAACAAAATCCAAATAGATTGTCTCTGCAGTCGTCGGGTCTTTATCGCGCAGAGAAGTTGACGTGAATATTTAAACACGTTTTCTGATAAGAATTTCAACGTGTTTGTAGGTATGAAAATCTTATTTATTGATGCATTTGAACTTTGAGATGGAATTAATGATCGTCTCTTGTTATTCTTTCCCATAAAAACGCGCGATCTATTATAGTAATAATTTCACGCTATTAAATCAATGAAAATTGAGATTTCTCTTAACTTTACGCAGAATTCTTAGAGATAAGAAAATTCGTATCATACAAAGTTTCTTACGCTCTGAATTTAATTAGATAACTCGATATTGTTAATTTAATTAATTTCGTCGTTATGGTTTGATCTGTAAAGAAACTAACGAAGGCAATTCTTGTTCATCGAAGTTTGCGACCGTCCAGTTTTAGATTCTTATTAAAGAAACTAAAAGTATCAGAAAATTATTATATTTAGCACTTAAATGATCATCCATTTCGCGATTTATTTGCCCTCATGCCACATAAAATTTTTAATTTATTTGAAATATTAATTAAAATTTTTAAATATATTTAATAAATTAGATTTTAATAAATGTAATAATAAATGTAAGAAATTTTAATAATTTTATTTTTTAATTTAATTTAATTATATGTTTTTTTTATTAAAATGCAAAACGTGTCGGTAAATACGCGATTATAATCGCGATGGTTAATAATGATTGTAAGATGGGGAACAAAATACAGTCTATCGTTAAGAGATGTCACTACCGACGCAATATTCGAATATTTTCGTACTTCCTTCAGTTTCCCCATTTTTTCCAATAAAAAAATTATAAGTCCTATTCCAAGGTTGTCTTTATATTGTATTAGTCATAAATTTAGATTGTGTTCTAAAAGTTTATTCCAAATAAAAAAAATAAATCATGAGCTGGTATTCGTGTAGTCGCCGGTTCTTATTTTAACATCTGCATTTTATCTTAAAATACTAATCTGACTTTTTTTTCTGTTTAATAGTAAGTACGGCTCTGTGATCTGTTTATAGCGTTTTAAAATATTACTTAAGGTGATCTTGAAATAAGAACCGACTCAACCGACTATAAATATCGGTTTATATAAGTTAACACTTTAATATTAATTAGCGACTAAAATGTATATATGTGTAAAATGGTAAATGTTTTCAATAATTAATTATATAATGTTTTAAGTATAGTCTTAAAATAACGTGAACCAATCAGAGAGCTCATATTAAGACATTACTTAAGACGGCCTTAGGCCCGTTTCTACCAATATAGTTTAATTTTAATTTCAATTTAACTAGTTCTTCATTTTTTCCTATTCTGAGAATTAGAAAAAGATAAAGAGTAAGTCGAACTAAGATTAAAGTTAATCTACATTGATAGAAACGGGCCTTAGAAAAAGAACAGACTGTAATGAATACCACTCTAATATCATTCTAAATAGACCGCGATCGGCGGTGACAGTTCATGCAACTGCAAAGAAAAACAGTTAGTGGACGTTTCGATTTTTCGGCGCCAAATGTTCCTCGCATCTTTAACCAGTTTATTCGAAATCGATTTTGCCATATATCGAAATCGATTTTGCGCGCATCGGATTTTGGTTGCGTATCGAAATGTGCTGATGGCACTTTCATGATTTGATATGTAGTATTCCTTCGAATTCGACAACATGTCGCGCTCGACAACATGTCGCTCTTAGGTAAAAATTTTATCTATTTTTGATCTTTTAAAAATTTAAAATTTTAATCGTTCTAACATCCACTTACATTGAATCTTTTGCAGATAATACTCTAGTTGATATGTATAAATCGATTAGTTGACAAGATACGCAAGGTGAAGAAAACACATAACCTTTAGCGAGATGCGCAATTGCATAGAAACGTCAAAGAGCGAGATAAAAATACATATGCATAAAATTGCATTTCCTCTCGCAAACGCAGAACTTGTGAACTCGGCACCTCTGCGAATACACTATGATGTGAGTCAAAATGCTACGTTCGTCTAGGCTCTTTCTTTCTTTCACGTTTCTTCGCTCCCTCACCGCCTCCCGCGTTTGTTCGTTTCATTCCCAGCGCGCTTATTATTCCCCGTTTCTTTCGTAGGGAAGATGTACGCGACGTATTTGTCGACGGATACAGCAGGCCTTCCATCGTCCCCCCTGACCTCCCTCTCGTCTCCTGAACGTGCCGCCATCATAAGGGTATATCCTTCTGCCTTGCCGGAAGTGAGGATCTCTTCAAGAGGGAGTCAGCGACCATGCTGGTAAGTCGAATTTTTCCTTTTTCTTTCTCTACTTATCTCGCATCTGTGCCGAGATATGTTTACGTTATCTTTGCATCAATCATGCTCGTTGAAGTCTTCCTTGAATGAGGAGTTTTTATCCCGTACGCGTGCTGCATTAAGTAATTCACCATCACTTATTAAGCCTATTCTATTCAATTGCGTAAGCATAGTTTTACGAAAATTGATAATTACACGTGCATTTTTACCAGTCACATCAGTAAAATTATAACGCATATTGCAAAAAATTGTATAAGTATTTAAACTCTCTATATCATGGATATATAAAAGTTTACATATGTAGACTGTGTTTGCTTTAGTGTTCACAATATACTTTATGCATCATTTTATTCTTGTTTATTAAGTACTAAACAAGGACAATTGATTGCTCACAAGTGCTGTGAGTGTCAAAGCGAACCCAGTCATAATGTAACATTGTAATCAATATTTTATTACGTCTATAAAGTTGCTACATTGATACATTGTATTTTTTATTTCTTTTTAAAAGTTGCTACATTGTAATTTTTACTTGGAACGTAATAATGTGAACTACTTGCAAAAAAACATCTCATATTGTAAATTTTTTTCATTTTTTTAATTCACAATCAATAGAATTTGATTGTACAATATATTAACTTGTAATTAACATATTTAATATAAAATGTAATATCTTTGAATATAAATATAATTTCTATCATATAATACCTCAGTATTTATATATTTATAATAAAAACTGTATTGCTATCTTTCTCTATAATATTTCCTTTATGTCTACTATGATTTGTAATTTGATATTCTGTAGTATCAAAATCGTATTTTAGAAGCTTCCGATGTTTATATGACAATTATTATTAAACGGTCAGTTTTCTGCAAATGTTCCATGAACCAACAGTTTATATTTCAGTTAATTGACTTTAGAATGTTTTTCTGACTGACTGTGTCACAAAGTTATCTCTGCAAGCAAGTAATTCCATCTAACGTTATACTATAAAGGGAGAAATTTAAATACCTTCTTTGGTTACACACGCTGGCTTTTAGTTACATTTCGCAAAAAGAGCATGTAATGACGTTATGTTCCGAGGAGCGCGTTCGGACGATGTTTAGCGGCGTGATTTTTACTGCGATTAAATTACAAACAGAGTGTGGAAAAAGCCAACTTTCGGAAGCGGTGGAAAGCGACTCGGTGATACCCGGTATCAGCAAAGTGGTGTCGTTACACGAGAGTTCATGTATCAAGCGGCTGATTGACGAATGAAAGACGCTTCCTGGTGTGTTTCCGCGTTAAAGTATATGTTTTACGGAGTAGGAAACCACCACCGTTGCCCGATCGCAACATTTCGGTCTCTTTTAACCTGACATGCGACATCGAGGAATTTAACAGTCCTAAAAGAAGCACGTTGAAAGGAGAAAGAAAGTCGCGTGATCCAAAACTCCGAGATAGCAACGCGAACGCGGCAAAGAGATGAGCGTCTGAGGGTGGAGTGATACAAGAGTTCGTCTCGAGGGCAAGAAACAGATAGGAAATAACTGAAACACTTTCTTCCTTACCCCGATCCTTCAGAGAATTTAATCTTTTTACGTTTGTCGCGCGCGTTCAAGCATTCGCGTAAAGATCCGCCCCGTCGTCGTGTGCGTTCGTCGAACAAAAAATAATGCTGTAAAATATCTACCGCCGCGAGAAGAATTTTTGTGACGGTACGAAACTATTGTTCTTCCCGTTTTTGCTCCTTTTTCCGATTTTTGCAGTACTTCTAACTGTGCATTAATGTTGCACAGCTAGGTGAATCTGCAATATTTTTTATCAAACTCTGCGGAGATGACTCGAAAAAAAAATGACAATTTCACAATAGTGGAATTCATATAACAGTTTTATGATTTGGATTATTCACATTGATTCTTTTAGTTCTAAAGTTCCGAAGTTGGCGGTCTATTAAATCCACTCAATCATAAATCTTTTTTTGTCAAACAATTCAATTTTTTCATTTTTACATTTACAAATTTGAATTATTCTTGTTAAAATATATTTAGTATTGATTTTTTTAAATATGAGATAATGATGAATAGATGATTTTATATTATATGACTTTATGACATTTTAGTGATTTTATGTTATTTTAATTCTTTGAAATTAATTAATATTTTTAACATAAATTAAATGAGACTTACATACTCAGTGTTAGTAATTGTGTTACAGTTTTTGGTGTCAACTAAAGGGTTAAATGCATTTGAAATTTTCTGAATATTTTATTCCTTGCATTTCTGTTACGTACACGCTTTATCCACAATAACATTTATTTATATTTAAAATTTTGCATTTAATACAAATTTTAATAATTTCGTAATTATGAAAAATGAAATTATTGCAGCTTTTTTAAATAAAATTTTTAGCTCCTATTTTAAATTCGTAAATTCTTATCATTTGAAAAAGATTAATGATTTATAAGATACCGTGCATACAATTATTATGAGTATTCTTCAGGTTTGTTCTGGTAGTAGTACATCGCAACTTTTCGTTCCTTTCTTATCCTTACCTTACCTCTCACCGTGATACTTCCCCCTCGTGCACGGACACACTGTTTGTATCTCGTTACCTAGCTATTTGGTTATGATTTGATAGCGCCTTTCCTAGAACGTTGCAAATACTCGGAGATTGCCAGAGAGAATCGAAAAATTCTCAAGAGAAGTTAAACGATCGGAGATAATTGGAAGTGAAATTTATTAAGTCCTGATTGTCCTGATTTTCTTTTCAGAGAGAGTCTGTAAGTTGAGATTTTTATTTCCCAATTTTTCTTCGCACAGACAATTTAAATAATTCTAAATATTTTAGAGCGACGTATCTTTATTGTTATATATAATAAATGTTGTTCCTGACGTTGGTAGTTTAATTAATGAATACAATATCAGTAGCGAAATATCTACAATAGAAATGAAAACGATAAAAAGATAAACGAAAACTAAAAATAAATAAATAAGGTATCAGGTCGCGATCTTTACATACGTGTGCCATGAAATTTTAATGCAACGGATTTAGTTTGTGACCTACATTTCTACGTAGCCTGTTTTTTTCTCGGTCTCGCATATAATAAGGGATTATTAGCAACAGCAGGAAATTGAGACGATCGGTCTCTCTATGATGTAAGATACAAGTGTAATATTGCACATAATGGCGGTAGCGTATTGAAAGTCTGGAACAGCCATCCGCAAAATTTGAGAAATGTTTTTGTTGAAATATAATATCGTTATAATTATTCCAAAGTTTACATATATGGTATAAACATTTAATTATCTTTACATGAATGATCTAATATCGATTTACTTCTATGATTCTATCATTTAATAAAGAATTTCGAATTTTATGTATATAACAAGCATTTCTTTCTAATTTTACGATTTATGATTTTTGCACAAGGCATGTAAAAAAATGACGTTATTTTTCTCTAACATGTTCGCAGTCATATTATTTTTCAATATTTTGACTTAAATCTGATTGATTGCCTACTGTACATCCATAGAAATATTTTACATTTGGCTTATATATATCATGTGTGTTCTCTATAATATTTATTATAGGACGTTATTAATATCGTAGTAAAAGTTGTAGAATCTTTTTGATGATACATGTCTTGAAAGCGATATGAGCGAACGATTTCGATCACGTTCTTTTGTTTATCAACTTTAGGGCCAGATAGCGACGAAATAAAGGACCGGAGAACCACCCCGATACTTTTCCATGGAGTGCTTTCGTCATGTCTGGCTTCTGAAGCTTCCACGTCCGGCAGTTCCGTGTACATATACGTGCCCCAGGTGGTTGTCTCAAATAACGCCACCTAAAGCGAGTAACTCGATACCGAGGATCCTGCGGATGTTTGAACATGGATTGTGTTACACGTGCCCATGCGTTTTTAGATTATCTTGCGTCCTTGCGAGTAACGAAACTAGTTCCCGATTTTCTAGTAAAATATTTAATACCCATATAGAAAACACAGGATTCAGAAGTAAGGATGAAGCGCAAGTCGATAATTTGCACGGTCCATTTGAGGGCATGACTTAAAATGGATTTATCTTATTTTTATGTCGAATCATTCAGTTATTTTCGCACGAACGATCCAATATTAGGTCAATTTACTTCTGTGATTCTGCTGTATTTAAGTAAGGAATTTTGAATTAACGAGCTTTTAAAAAGATCTGTTATAGAAAAAAAAATAGTAACAATCGAGACTCGTATCAGTTTCGTGTATTCGTACGTCCGATTGGAATATACTCACGTTCGACAATGTGAAAAGTCCGAAACTACGGACTCGCGAAATAGACGATGAGCGAAACAACAGTTGGAGAGAACGAAGGACGTCTTTGATTTTCTAATGGAATTTCAAAGCTTCTCCGTCGGGAATTTTCATTGATTCCCGTTGAACCGTTACCGGTTTCCCTGCGAGCGAAGGGATGGGTGCAAAGACGCCCTCCTAGATAAAGAGATGGCGGGGATGTAAGGGGAAATAGAGGTTCCAGCGCACACGATCATTCGTCGTCGTCGTCCTCGTCGTCCTCGTCGTTCTCGAGCGGAGAGCTTTGTAATTTTAATTATTTCATTAGTGGAAATCCTTCGAATATACAAAGAAAGGAGGGGACAGGAGGTGGGGTTTCTCGCAGGCGTTTCTCTCACGCCCAAAGGAATCCGTTCGCCGTTGTCGTCGCTTCTATTTTTCTCCCGTCTCCAGCACTCGCTCTCTTTCACCTCTGGATTTGTCGACATTTCCACGGCTTTACACCCCTATTCAACGAATAACGTCTGTACCTCTCTTTATCTATGATTAATTTTCGAATGTGTTGTGTTCAATGAAGTTATTTTCTAACAGAAAATCGACTCCGCTGTTTGCGGAGGACAACATTACGTCTCCATGCTTCGATCAATTCATTCACGTCTTTAACGACAAATTTCTTGATAAAAACATGGAAGTAAATTACTCTTTTAATTGTTAGATATCAATTTTATTTGTAAGCCTCAAATTAAAATTTTATTTTAAAGCAAAATCCATTTTAAATTGCCTGAAGATTACTAATTGACTGAAGACTCGTTATGCATTTTTTGCAGGAAACTCGATACACTGGTAATTCCTTAGTTTTAATCAGCAATTGCTCGGAAACTACAGATATCTTACAATTAATATTTTTCTCGAAGAATAGATAGTTTCTAAATTCTTCGCAGAGTTTAAAATTAAATAAAAGAAGTGAGTTGTGTACGACATTTACGACATATATGTTGTTTTAACACTAGAAATATCAACATTTCTTTTTTACTAAAAGGATTAAATTAGCGAATAAATTACTGCTAAAGAAATAGAAACGGTATCAATAATGATCGTTCAGTTTCAGTAATACTTCCAGTATTAATACACATACACGAGCACATCGGACCGATCATCTCCGCAGGATCCACTTCGTCCTCGTGAATTTGCGCTGAGTGACGCGAGTCGCAATGACGATTATCGCGGCGACGCGATCGCCGCAGATGCGCCGCTGTCGTGACATTAGCCTGTAATAAAGCATGACGCAGATAATCGAATACAGGACACGTAACGAGGATTGGGCATCTCCCGGCGTGGAGTGTACAAGCACCAGTGGTAATTTAGGTATCATTGCCTTGGTCAATAGCCAATTCCTATTTTGGCTCATCTCCAAGGGGAGGACAAGTAAACCACCGTTTCGCACCATTTTCGCGAAAGGTTACAGAAGTTCACTGAGATTCGCTGATTTGTTACCAATTTTTTGGATTTTCTTCTCAACATCCGCTTTATAAAACGCGTTTAGCGTTACCTTAAAATGAGATCATTTTGACCCAGTCGAGATAACTTTGAAGATAACTAAATGTTAAAAAAATGCCTGGACAGCACGCATGTGCAAAATCGAGACAAGACGTTATCGTAAAATGGAGTAACTTTAGTCCAAATTAAAAAAAAAAAAACGTAGATACGTACAAAATCAAGACTTAAGACATCTAGGCATTACCAAAATTATTTCGACTTGGCCAAAGTTACCCCATTGTATGTTCTCGCATTATTAATTTGTCGCAGATTTTTGAGAGATCTCTAGGAGTCTATCCACTCGGGATCTCCGTTTTCTTCGTGTCAGTTATGCAGAGTACCATCGACTCCCTCATGCTTTTACGGTTCTCCTCCGCAGTGGTTCTGAAACGTCCCGGGGAAATCGCGTTCCCCGTTCGAGAGCTCTCCTTAATCCGACCGCGAGGGCATGCCGCGGAGTGCACCGTAAAATTTGTAATCGGTGCGAGCATTGTCGTCTTAAGTACTATTCGTAGGAAATGCTGTTTTTCTGTCTCTTCTTCTCTCCTCTTCTTTCTCTCTTCCACGCGATCTCACTCCGGTACTTCTATTCTCTTGCTCGTCTTCTTCGCGGGTCTTTCCGACCCAATAACGTAAACCCTTATCGACCCACTTTCAATCTTAGTTGGAAATATATTTGCTGGAACCCGTGATATAGTTAGAACGGAACTGTATTTTCCTTTCTTGTCTCCTCTTGCAATCCGCGCGTCCAAAGATGCGCGCCGTTGATTTAGCGTCACAACGCGGTGGCGTGGCTCGCTGGCATTGAAAAATGACCGAAGAAACGAACGAAAGCGAAATGCGTCCATGTATCACAGAAGAATACTCTTGCGGTCCTTATTGATATGCATACGCGCGAGAGGGATCTTCCGACATGAACAAAATATGCAAGAATATATTTAGGGATGCACCGGATATTCGAGAAAGATTTCCGAATATCTGATTTCTGGAAATATCTGGCCGAAACATTATATTGAAATAACGTATATATATATATATAATGATATTAATACCTGAAAACTTATCAGTGATATATTTTTTAGAAATATAGATAATACCGGATATACTTATCAATAGCAAAAAAATGGTATATATAAAAGAAGTTGTGAAAAGAATTTCAAGTTTGAAGTTTCTCTAGGATAGTCATATTTTCATTCATCTTCTTACCATCTTGAATGAAATATAGTGTCTACATTTTCGAATTTTTTAAAATATTGTGCTGCATTTGTATCTATGTGTGGTGGGTTTTTTATAATTGTAAGAAAAATTAAATTAAAAATTAAAAATTAAATTTAAAAAAATGTATTGATCAAAAGTTCAAGTACTGGTACAATTAGAATAATCAATAATAATATAGAATTATATATATAATAATATAAATATATAGATATAGAATAATATAATTTTATCTTCTTATTAATACAGCCATTAGGATATTTTCCTTATATGATGGATATGATTGATATTTTTTTAAATATCCTTGGATAATCACGTCGAATATTATAGATTCGCGAAAGTAGATCTTGTTAAATTATTGAAATATGCATCGAGCATATAGATAATTGATGCGTGAATTTTGGAATAAAGCAATTAAACGGTAATAACGAGGACACACAAGAGAAACTGACGAAAATAAACAGAATTAAAAATACATTGGTAATAAAATGTAATTCTCCACCTATGTGTACCCTGATTTTATGCTACAGCGCGGTTATTTGATGATTCGAGAATTGACGAACGGTTTATCATTGATTAACAGAATTTTAAAAGTGAAAATCTGGCGTTGCATTTTTTTTAATAACGACTCGTTCGAGTTATCATTTCTCTGTCACGTTTTTGATTTTCATAATCTTGTCTCTCGGCGTTGCTCGCATATATAATGTTGCGTTGCGAAGTGCAAAGAAAAGTATAATTCGCACGGAGGACGGAGAAAGACTAGGCGCGAAAGTAGTTTACTTCCACCTGGTTGACAGACGCTTACTCGCATTTAATTACGTCTATGGATCTGTTTACGAGTCTAGCGAAGAGAACAGGAGACTCCCGTCTCGTGGAAGGGGTTTGGGGTATTCCCTGGAGGGCTCGTCGAGCCCGCACCATAACGCTCGACGTGTACCTCGCCAGTGAGTCAGACCGGCTGTCTGTTCGTAGCTCATTAAGCTGTGCGCACGCTATCATAAATACTATATATATGTATATGTAGGTGTATGTACGCACTGCCTTCATACGGAAATAAAAATAGTCTACTGGGGGTGATACATCGAAATCAGTGAGGGTCGCACCCGTACTCGCGAGAACTTTGACTCATCACTCTGTCCGTGCCGTACTTGAAGCAGCTCTATAAACGCCGTCTGTTAAACCCGGAACTAATAAATGGAATATATTTGCTGGATATTTCGTGACGTTACCGATAAGCTGTATAATTCTCTGCACAATTTGATTTGACACGCATGACTCAAAATCACGCGAAACTTTCGTGAAAGCGTTGAAATCTATTTTTTTTACCTTTTAAATTTAAGTGGCTAGATGGCGTTATCACAGCACCCTATAGGTATAGTTTTCTTTAGAATCTTTTTTGTTCTGAAAAAGAAAAATAAAAAATATTACCCAGAAGCCTAAACTAGTGCACTCGGAACATTTTCTTCAACTGTGTTGTGAAAAATTGATTATAACAAATGTTTTTCACAACCTTACATGATTTTAAGTTACGTAACATTTATTCGGACTTTAACCTTTGAAATGAAAAAATTTAATTATGTTATATTGAAAACTTTTTTGGGGTGTTTTGAGCATCCTACGTATTAACTTGCACATTTTAAATTACTTACTCTAAAGAACAAAAGCACAAAGAGCAATTGCGTTTCTTTATGTGACGTATGATGATTTACTTTACGATATTTATCTTGGGCCATGGTCCAGCTGGATTTTAGCTCATTTCTAACGAGATTGTTCTCCGTGTGACGTATACATTGTCGTAGATTAATTTCAGACGTCTCGGCCCATCTGTTATAGCTGTGAGGCAGTTCTAAAAAATATATACCGTGGACGTGTTACGAGTACCCACGGGATATTTTCATAGAAGCACTTAGCACGGACAGGATAACGTGTAGATTTCTGTAAATTAGCAGTATCGTGATAGAGAATTACGATCTGCGCGTTACAGAGAAACTCGTTACGTGATTATATTATTAATAAATAATTCTCATAATTATGCTGTGTTCGCGCGAGTGATTGAAACGTTCATTTGGACGGCTGTATTAATTCAAGTTACATCGACTTTACGTAACAGGCTCGGTCAGTATAACTGGAACAGCCA